TCGTTTCCTCTTTACGACGGATTTTGCCGTCACGTTTACTTTCTCTCGAGTGTCTCGGAAACGTACATATGCCTCTTGTCGTCTAACTTGGCAACCTTAAATTACTCGCAAATTGTTCCTGCCACCAACAAACTTTTCCAGCAAAGATATTGCATAGTTTTCCACAACCGTATTCCTACGGTATTAAAATTTATTTTTTACAATCTTACAATACGAATTATCAACATGTTACCTACATTATTTTATCTGAAATAACGCAGACCAATTTATTATTTGCATTTATTATCATTTTATTTGTATCTCGTTTCTCCAAGTTAAATTTATTACGTTTAAATTTCGATACTGCTGTAATCTACTTTCAATTTCGATACTTTTTCGATACTTTCAAATTCAATACTACTACATCTACATCTACATCTACATCTACCATAATCGCTAAAATCATATATCATTCCCTTTTTGTTATTTTTTCTATCCCTTTCTATCTTATTTCTTGTAAAATTGTTTCCTAATTAAAATTATGTACTGTTAAAATTGGCAAAATTTTAGGCCGTGTTCTTTCTTGCTTCTTTTCTCTCTTTTTTCTCTTCTTTTCCTCTTTCTTTCTCTCTCTTTTCTTTGCTTTTTTTTAATCCAGTTAGTTCTTTGTTCGAATCAGGCAATAAACAACGGAACAGTGTCCAACGGACGAAACTGTGCTCTTGATCTTGCTTCTATCAGATGTATCGGTTGGAAACTAGTTTCGTTTCCACCATTTCGAGACCCTGGATTTACGACGTTGAATCTGTTTGCCGTTTAGCGTAAACAAAGATTTAGGTCGATGAAATTTCATCTAGATACTCAAACAGTTCTGTAAAAATTAACTAAAGGCATCTTCCTATTTAAAATGTAACAACGCCTGATATTCATTTAAGCCGAGCGATTTCCATTTTCGAAAAATATACTCGCACGAAAGCGTTGTAGATTATCTCGTTGCATGCGAAAAGTTGGGGGAATTTTTGTTATTGAGAAATTATCACGGACTTTGCAAGTACTTTTAGATATTTAAAAAGAATTATCCTCGATACTCTTTTACCATGATGTGAAAGTTCAACAAGACATTGACAATTTTTTAAAACAATTCTCAATGTTCGAAGAGAATTATCTATCGAAACAGTAAAGTAGATGAATTACTTTTTCACGGTAATATAACAATTGTACATGGCTTGGACTGGCTTTGGATTCATCCAAAATTCTTTAAAATCACATATCCATTTGTATGAAAAACTTATTGTGAAAAAGGGAAGATCGTTAAATCTCATTTTCACTATAACAAAATATTGCAGGGCCTAATCGTAATATAATTATCAAACTATCTTACGGATGACGCGTGAATAAACAATATGGATGCCTAATAATACATGTTATAAGAATATCGATTTCCGCCACCGAGGACCTCCTTCCATTTTCTGTGTCGCATTGAACGTCTTAAACTAACTGTCTAGATTACCAGAATATTTATCGATCGTCTGAAAAATAATTCGAAACTTTCGAGAACAATTTATTTGAGCAATAGGAATAAGCAATTTCAAATTCATCGTAACGCGAAAGATTAAAAATCGTTATAATAATAATTAATAAACGATCGTTTGATTTGTTCGTGATTCTCTAAATTAATCCTAAACACAAAACCTTCAAATTCACTATAATAATCGGTAGATACGCCATTTAGCGAGTAGCGTGTAATATTATTGTATTTCGTAGAATCAGCAGATGCTTGTTGTAGGAGTCGTAGGAAAAAGCGGAACGAGTTTGCTTCGCGATACAAGTCACAGCAGAAGTTCCCTCCGCCCTCTCGCCAGTCCGAAAAATATTGCTTGTAAATTTCTAGCGGACAGACCAGTATATCTTGTCCTCTCTTGGCCACTTGATTTACCTCCTCCCATGCTCTTTTTTTCCTCCTTTTTTCTCCCTACCACGCAACGGTTTGTTTTCACGCGCATTTTTAACGATCACTTGGACGAAGCGACGCTCGCGTTCATTTCCCGTCGTCGTAAATTCTTGCTTTCGTGATAGCATCCACCTTTACCCATCCTTATTTGCCTATTCTTTACCCAGATTATTTGTTTTCTCCAGGCAAATGCCATTACGCCAGCCTTACGACGCGAATTTTTCAAAGTATCTTCTAAAATAACATTGACAAAATTGACCCAGTCGATTTGAATGTTGAATTTTATGATACTTTGTCACGTATATCGCGTTCAAAACCAGGGGGATAGAAATCTTGAAAACGTATCTGCAAGTTTAGTTATCTTGCCAGAAAACGTTATCTTGCCAAGTTTAGTTGATTATTTAGAAAGCGATACTTTTCGTTTAGTGGAAGATTTGTAGATCGATGAAATTTAGTTGCCCCACGCGTATACCTATTCTGTAGAAACAGCTACATACAGATACAACCGATCCAAGTGACTAGTTAGCAATGTATATACACGGTGGTTGGTAACTGGTGGTACAAGCGGAAGGGTGGTGATTCTACGCGAAAAAGAAGTCGAAAATATAGAAAAAAATTTTTTTTCTTGTTTTTTAAATTTTTTTAAAAATCTACAGTGAGATCCGTTATAACGAGACGTGATAAAGTGCACGCGTATCGAGCGAAAATTCAAAGTCGATTTTCTCGAAAACAAAGCCTCAAACGAAAAATTTTTATTCTATATTTTCGACTTTTTTTTCGCATAGAATCACCCCCTTTCCGCTTGTACCACCAGTTACCAACCACCCTTTAGATGCGAACCTTACGCGTTTCAATCAGTTTGTAATAACTGATTTATGATAAACATAAATGTCATCGTTCAACATACGAGAACGCGCGTTCAAATTAACAATTGTCATTTTGTTATTATTATGATATATTAGTTACGAAAGAACTGCAAATTTATCAGTGTAAATATCTCTTGTGACAACAGAGAAGAAAGAAAGAGGATGATTTCTAGCGTTCTCAGAGTGCCATATATAGAAAAATTGGCACAGTAGAGGATATTTGTTCCGTTACTGAACGTTATCGTGCGCCAGTGTTTTCCAATTTCCAATCAAATATTTTTGTCGGTTCAGTGGAATATCTATATTAGTGATGTATAGGTATGCAAATTTGGAGAAAGCAGGCTGAAATGTAAGATCGAAGTTGTAAAAGATTATGTTTCAAGGCAGAAGTTATTTAAAATTATTTAAGATAATAGATAATTTAAACGAAGTAAAGCTTATAAAAATTCAACGTTGCAGTTGATCTTGTAAGAAATGCGATTTTTGAAATATTCAAGGTAGAAGCAGAATCTTACGATTAAGGTATATTCAACCCAGAAAATGAAGAAGAAAAAAAATAAAAGAACAGATATCTAATTAAGTCATAAAGGAGCAAATAAAACATAATAAAGTAAATAAAGACAATTGATAAAGACAATTTTGGTAATATTCGATCTTAGAATTAAATGCTTCGCTAAGAAATGAGATGCGCCATTTGTCACATTTCTTTCGTTGTCTTCGATTAAAATGTTATATAGTAGAATAATAGCTTAGACGAAAACTCTTGGTGGCAACTGTAGATATTTGGGCCTGTTTTAGATCAGAATCTAGAAACTATCCTCGCCGGATACGTTAGCGGAAGTTTCGCGAATCTTCGAACATCGACGGGGCGGGCTGTAGGACGATAGAAACTTTCGAAACCCACTTGCACGATCTGTATTGTTTCGTGGTTGTGTATCGTGTTCCTCTGGACGGGATAAGAACGCGTTTCCACAGCTCCAACAACTTTCTACACGTCGAACGCGCGTCGACATCTCGGAACGCGAACGATTCTTTTCATTCTTACTCGAAACTTTTTCGCTTCAGAATGGCTACTTTGAAGTTTTAAGTTGTCCCAAGTTCGTTGCACGGGAATGGAAAATATTTCCTCTCTGTTATTTTCACGTTATTTTATATCTTTATCTTTGTTTCCATAGATTAAACTATCAACTCGTTTAGGTTCTCCAAGTGTCCAAATGTACGAATATTTTGAATTTGCGATGAAATTTTTATCAAATTGAAAGAATTTCGAAAGAGTTTGCCAGTATCTTCTCCGATTTTGCCAGCTTGCTTGGTGCAGCGTGGAGAATTCTACCGAGAGTGTCGCTGCCTCTCGGCGTTCCAAAGTTCAAAGCTCGTCATGGAGGCAGGTTGAAAAGTTTCGCGGCCCCTTCGACTTCAAAGTGGAAACGGGTCTGTAATTTCTACATTCGCAAGCAATCTTCCGTAGAACGGGTTACCCTAGACGACGCGACGCGACGTGGAAAGATGCGATACACTCGATTTACCGAGTTCGTGATTTAGTTCTATCGCATGGAGCTGCTTTGATCCTCTGTCGCGCTTGTACTAATTAAAAAATTCTACTTGACCCGTACCAATCGCGCAAAAATTCGTAAATTCTTTGTCAAATGAGAAAAATGTAAAATTATGGCAATTGTAGGTACGTACGTACCTACCTGTATACTACCGGTATTTAGTATCTATTCGATAATATTTTCTTTAATGTATTTTCTGCTTTTTTAACGTCTTTTCCAAATTTAGTTGTTGTTTGTTACACTACTTTTCCCCATATTTTTCAAAGCCACTCTTATTATTTTATTACTTTTATTGTTCATACTAGCATTCTTATCACAACTTGTGTTAAGGTTCAAGGTTTCAAGGTTCGGTTCAACAACTTTGAAAATAGAATTATTTTTAGCCGATTCTGCTGTTACTATGTTACCTTTTCTTTCAAATTTCTCATTAACAGACCCTTCACCATTTTTTAACTATGACAATCTCCCTATATTTATTTGTAATTTTGTCATAGTAGCAATATCGTATTCGCTAACGATAGGATAATAGTAAATTTTCTTGTATAAATAATTTTAACCAGAGGTTTCGCACCATCGTTCATTTTATCAGTATTACCATTGAACAAAGGATCGTTTGAAATTTATTTCACCAAAGAATTCGCATTGTTTCAGGGCTGACACACAGTCTCAAATGTTATAAATGCGGACAGTACAACGAGGGAGTCGGTAGCATCACACCGTGTATCAATTATACCGCTCACATGCATCTAAAGGAGTGTTTACCCACGGCCGAATGGTGCATTGTAAGTAAACATTTGTCTTATCTTCTATTCCAAACGGCATTTAATTCAATTTGTTATTCATTGTTTAATAGAGGAAAGGAACCTTCTTCTTTTTTTCCTTTTTTTTCTTTTTTTGGTAACGGGGAAAATTTGGAGGATTTGATCAGTTTGAATGATGTCAATCAACGAAGAACACGAGTTTCCGTGGCCTACGCTAAAAACCGAAATTTAAGATCAACTTTCAACATACATATTTTGCTGGATGTTGTCATTTAGCGAGCAAATTGCGAGCGACAAATTTTAGCAGCAGTTCGTAGATAGCGAACGACATTTGACTGTAATGGAAAGCGTATATATTACATTTGTCATTCTCGTATGTTCCGGCTAGCTCGGATTCCGACTCAAGTGGACAGTTCTGTGTATCGATTTATAAATTAAATATTACAACTACAAGTTTGAGGTTTACAGAAAAGAAGAAAAAGAAACGAAAAAAGGAAAGAAAAAAGAGTTGGATGCAAGTAGCAGAAAGAGTTTCAAGAGACTTTCAATGAACTGGGAAAGCGAAGATCGAAGCGGGAAGTAGAACAGCGTACTGAGTCTCAAATGGCGATCGTTAATTGCGGATAATCGTGGTTGTTTCCAAGTCGTGGCTCTGTTTCGTGTTTTTGTCGAGGAACAAAGTGCCTCCAAACGCTGTACAAGTACAACGCTATACAAAAAGTGCAGAGACGTTCACTTTTTGTCGTTGCGAGGCTGAAAAACACTTCAACTTGTTTCTTAAGAAGCGGAGCTTGTGGAATTATTTCGAGATAATGGAAAATGTTTGATACAGAGAGAAATTTCACTACTTTCTTCTTGTATAATAAATTTCTTCATTTCTATCAATATTTCGTACTTTCGTCGATTAACAAACAGATAGACGGTTATATTCTTTATTTTAGCCCCGCAGCCCAGAAATCCTAACTCGGTGTACACTTGTTCTAACTTTACGATAAATTGAACCAAAGAACTGTAATTGGGAATTGCTGTAGACTCCATCTCTCAATTCAACGACCTCGAGACACTTAATCGAATCGCGTGATCTGTTTATCGTGTTCTGGCACGTGTCTCACAATCGCAATCCTTGCCAGGATCGTCCTTGAAGGAGATACAATCCTGGTGAATTAACGGGCCATCTCGTTCGACTCTATCAATTCCCAATCGCGCACTGCCTTCCGGCTAGATCAGCGTCCCCGTAACTGCATTATCATATCATACCGTTGGATATTCTGACGTGGCCTTCGAATTACTGCCACCGGTGCGTTTGCCTGGTATTAATTAACATTTTGCGACAGCAACGGAATGACTGTCCGCTGTGTGAATAGATTTAGCCGATCTCCCATAGGACCGTCAGATCGTTTAATTGCGCGATAGAATTGGCAGCGAGTTAGATTCGATTTGGAAAGCGGGATTTTGGTTGTTTGGGAATTCTGTTGCTACTTGGAGTGATATATTCTACGGTGGAGAGGACGAATAGATGGCTCTTTAAAACCGGAAACGGTAACACGTTGCAAACTTTCCAGACCAGCTACACTCGATTTAGATAGCTTCTCACTGTTTTAGTTGCGAGTCGTTCCATTTTCAAACTCTCTTTATTTGAAATTTTCTAAAAAAGGTTTTCCAAAAGGTTCCAATTAGAGATAGATCTCCGATTTGAGTGATGAAATAAGAATTCGTTTAATATTAACAAATATTTCATCTATACGAGATCTCTTAAAATCAAATTAAAAGCTTCGCGATTCATCCGAATCAGAATTCTGCGAAATCGTAAAATCAGAGAATCTGTAAATTTCGGAGCTACGTATAAATCGTCTATACACGCGTTATTCGCAAATTATGACACTACCGTTTGGAAAGTATCGATATGAATGGTAGGTAGTGAAATATAAATTACGAGCAGTGCTCGTACATACGAGTAACCGTAGCCTGTATTCGAGTGTCGCAGATACTGCCCGACTTTTATCCGGTCGAACAACGTGAAGAGGATCACGATGTATCGTGTAACCGAGAATTGATAGCAACGTTCCCGACGGTAACGGTAGAAAGAGCGTCGCACTTCTGCCGACTTCTGTCTGGTACGTTCCCGATGGAACAAGGAAAATCAGGACAGATGGTCCTACGATAAAATACAACCAGATGGAACACTGACACGTTAAACGTCCATAAAAAATTAACAATTCAATGGCAAATAAAGCGGGTAAAAGTAAATTTCCAGATTTTCAACAGCTAGAAAATAAATAAACGGCGACCGCGTTTAATCAACGTGACCGCCGATTGCTTTCTTGAGCGATACAGCTGCTTTGCGGTGACACTGCAATCTCTATCTATCCACGCTCTAAATTCTCAATCAGACTCTAGCCGATATAGGAAACGACCAAAGTTGATATTAACGAATTGACAAAAGATATTACTACAACTATTGGCTTTTAAAAGAAGATGTTTAAAATGATTTGTCACCACAGACTGAGCACCTCTCAGTACCAAGTTGTTCCGAGCATTTATCCAACACGATGTAAGAAATCCAATGAAACAAACAGCACAAGCAGATAGAATATGATTTGTACACTGAATACGATAAATTGAAAAGAGTGGAGCAAACAAGTAGAAAACTTTATTTGCTGGTATGACAGCCTGTTTGCGACGGCGTTGGGGAAGAAAAAGAGAAAAAGCAAGCAAGAAAAAAAAGAGACGATAGTGTCTGAAAGCTACGTGATGCGCGCTTTTCCAGTTTTTCTACGTTCCACTTCTCACGTTTTAATGCATAAAACATTTAGATCGCGTCACCTCGACGCGATCCGTTTGAAGGTCGGAAGAGCTTTTTGACAAGTTTTCTAACAAAATAGGGCCACGGACAGGGTCCGGCTCCGATCTGGATGGAACCATTTCTCCAAACAAATTGATGCTCGTGTTAAAAGACACACGGTAGAGGTGTCAGAGCAGCGGTACTTCTTTCTTCTCAAATTTCCTCAAGGTCTTGGAAAAAGCCCTGAGATATCGCGTTTCGTTGTTTGTTAAGTAGAAAAAGCTTGTAGCCGTTAGGAAAGGTTGACGGCGGCTACTTTGATCATATTCGGCACTCCAACGACTGCATCGATTCCATTACAAAAGAATCTGCTTTCTGTTGCCCCCAAATGTCTTCATTGCTTGTGTTTCAAACGTATCCGTGTCAATCGTTCCCACCGGCAGACAAATGGCTCACAGAAAGGCGAAACTATGTTCCTTCATTTTCCAATTCTGTACTACCTAACCTCAACCAGGATTCTTTCGTATTACTTACATCAGATAAAAGTATATCTCTATCTAACCTATATCATTTGCCAGCTTTCTATCAAGTCTTTCGTTCGTAAAATTTCTTTACAGACGAATATCATTCGTTTAAATTCGATTCTCAGAAACTTGTTGTCGTCTAAAATAATCTACGATACACAGCAGAGTCCTAAAATAAAATTAAAAAATAACTTAAAATTAATTTTCAATAAAAACAAACATAACTAAAGTCGCAGTTGTCAAAAGAAAGCATCATTAATTTTCACATTAGAATCCCCAAAGCTTATGCTTCTCATAACTTGTTAATTTTAATTCAAGAAACTTTGGCTAATCGATTCCGTCCCCTGAAAGCCCTTTTCATCCATCTTTCGACAACTCGTCTCTCGGAACGAAGATCGATGGATTAGCCATAGACAATCAAGCACGTGAACTCTGGGAGCCACTTACGTATTTCCAATGCTCGGCGCTAGACACCAGCGACACGATACAATACGACACGATACGAGACGATACGACAGAACGTCGATTATTCGCAGTTTGTTTTGTGATTATACATCGACTTCGTTTAAAGCTTTTTACGACGAAAAAACGCGTGCTACGCGTTTATAATTGCTGCCGAAAATGCCAAGCGGCAGTGCGTGCTCGCGCGCGCTTGTGCGTCCAACTTAATCTAATTTGTAATTATTACATGAATGAAAATTTAGTAGCAGTTCTTAATTTATATAGTGTTCCAAAGTATAAACACACGCGCGTGCGCGCGTATGTATATGTGTAGGTATGTATTTCTTTTCACTAAATCATACGAATTGTAGCTTTACATATATGTACAGTATATTTATTGTATATTGCACTGTAGTTAAAGGGTTAAATCGAGCTAGAAATTAGGAAAAAGCAGACAGCTTCTCTATGAACGTTGTCAGTAGCACAGTTGTTCGATTCAAGACCAACGCAACGTATTTACATTTCCCCACCCTCGTCCCCCATCCCCAACTGCTGATTCCAGTAGACATTGTTCGTATGCGTAACGACGCGACACCAGGATTTCCTCTCCAGCCAGTACGCTTTAACCAGCAAACAGAGATGCTCGCAGTTTCGCAATGCAATTGGATCAGCGTGTACGTCGAAGTACCGTCTCCGGTTAAGAGGCGGAGAACCAGCCGTGTTGTCGATGAACGATGCTTCGAAACTTCGAGTTCGGTTAAACTTTGCTGGGACACATCTAAAACCCATCTTCCGAGATACGTAATTCTTTTTCTAACTAGAAAATCTTGCCGTGACAAGTTAAAAGAGGAGTAAAATATCTTAAAGCTGTCCTTTAGTTTTTACTCCGCTTTTTAGAATTTCACTGGCTAAGGAATTATTCCGAGGTTAAGTGTCGTCCGTGATAATTGTAGCTGCTGGCTGTAGATGTCGCTGCTGGGGTACTGCTATAGTTTCTTCCTATTTAAGAATCGTGGAAGAAAAATCGGACTACGGATGCTGGGAATTTGAACCCGGGTCTCGAACGTTCGTAACCTAAGGCGCTAACCACTGCTTTTTTTTTATAACGTTTATTGACCAGTAGATGAGTATTATATTTGTATGTTGTTCACAATAAACAATGGACTTCGGTTGTGAGGTGGTTTAGGCAAAAGTACCGATACGTGACGGTACGACATAGCCATACAATGTTCTACGTGTCGAAATTACATTTTTTAGCTTACTATTTTTAAATTAGATTTAAGTCGCTGTAGAGCGGTGCTTATATACGATATTGTTTTTTTCTTCCTATCTCTGTCCTGAACACCTGGTCGCAAAAACAGGACAGTTCGGTAGTCTACTTTTGGTTTCGGAGGGTCTGTGAGATTTTGGGAAGGGGTGGGAGAGGGCGGTTGGGGAGAGGAAGGGAGGGGTGTTCTGTAAAATTATTTACAATATTTACAATGTTTACAATATTTGCACTATTTTACACGTTTTGTGGCTCTTTCTCTTGTTATTTTTTTTTA